AATAAATTTATTAAATTTATTTAAATTTATATATAATATCTTAGTAATGAGAGAATTCTTCAAGAACTTTTTCAGAAACTTGATGATGAGAATGATATTTTTTTACTGCAAAGATAGCAGCCTTTTCAGAAAGTCTAAGCTTATAGACACTCATAAAGTGTGCAGAACGGTGAGCAAAATGACAGATTTTTAATAAATTAACAGAGTCTAATACTTTTGAAACTGTTTGTTTGAGACTTTTAAAAAAATAATCACATTTAATTCTTGTATATCATTTTATTTCAGCCCAAAAAGATTTGATATAATTAAGTTCGCAATAGTACTTAGGTAAAAGATGCACATGTGGCTGGCTGCTTCAATTACCTAAATTATTTTATGTAAGTAAATAGTTTTAATTTAAAAAAAACAAAAAATATAATATACCTCTTGTACGCATAGTTTTTGAGTTGCAAAATCAGGTTGGGCTCAAAGAATATATGAAATGCAACAGTTTAGGTTGTTTGGATCAGATTTACATTTTTTATATATATTATATCATTTTAGAAGACCTGGTATCCATAAATTTCGCTCTTCAAGAATCCGTTTAATCTCTTTAGATCTTATTATGCCATTGCTATCTATATAGATTATAATATGCTCAGAACCATCAGGCTTTTTACTATCACGAAGGAGTAGCTTTTTTGTACCATTTCTCATATTTATTTATGAGACCAAAAGGGTGTCTTTAGCAAATAAACTATGATTGCTACTATGATCAAACATAAAGAGTGCTTTTTTTCTAGGATGCGTTTATTTAAATATTGGTATAGCACGTTCAACTAACTGATCAACTAAATCATCAGTTGTCTACCAACTATCACGATTTTGATCTGGATAGATAATAACACACGCTTTAGTATATTTAAGCCACATATGGTCAAAAAGTAAATTATTTATAGTGCAGTTATATTCTGAAAGTTTGAGACGCCCGATTGATTCACAAATAAAATTACTAATATGTATACTAAGGCCCTGTGATTAAGAATAGAAATCAAAGATTAGTCAATTAGTTGATTAAATTTTTTTTAGTCAATTAAAATATTATATAATTAATTACTAATCGATTGATTAGTTAACTAAAAAATATTGATTTATTTTAAGAATCCACCAGGCGACCATGAATTTTATGAGTTATGATCAACAAAATGACTTCATATTTCTTAAAATTTGTTAATATTATATTTGGCATTTGGTAATAAAGCATGTATAGTGAAATTAGTCCAGGAGAATTTTTTATTATATAAACTCTTGGGATAAAGAATCTTTTTTGTCAAAACGAGTGTTTTTTTAAATTTTTTAATGCCATGGCAAATAGAGTTCTAATTATACCAGGTATATAATACTATATAATATGGTACATATAACTACTATTATGCCCAGTTTAATATAGTTTAGAATCTTGAAATTATTGTTACGTATTATATGATATCCCATATAGTATATATTATATTGGTATTATATCAATAGTATAGCAGTATCCTAATAGTGATTTTGGCCGATCAAAATTTTTCGGCTATAACTAAGCTGATAAATTTTACTAGCTTAGCCGGCTTAGTTAATTTTAAAATTATACCATTTAATTCAGACTTCACAGGTTCATTTATTTTTCACCTTGAATGCTACAATTCTAGTAATAAAATTGATCAGCCAAATTTAAAAAAATCGACCAGCTAAGCCAATAATTTGCTTTTAACCAATTTTTTACTATTGGCCAAGATCACTATACCCTAATAGATTGGTCACATAGTACTGAAAAGTTTATTTATAATTGAACTAATGCTTAATGTTAGTAAAATTCTTCAAAAAATTTTTTTTTGTTAAAGGCAGAAGATAATTTCTTTCGAGAAATAATGATTTTTGAAATACAGCTATTTGTTTTAAAATTTTTATGATCATGTTATATTATATTTAACTAAAATTTTCTATTGGCTAAATTTGACACCAATCATCATGTATGTAGTATGTACTGTATATACGTAGTCGCATGGTAGATTTTTATTTTAATTCTTATCTGTGATTTGTTTCTTAAGCTATATTCACTCTTTGGGCCCCAATACTTTTTCATATTATCATTTGCATAAAATGGGGATTCATCGTGGATAACAGGAACTATTTTAAATTTGTTGAGAAGAAGTGTTGGCAGGATTTTATATTCTAATTTTTCATCTTCATATGTAGCTATTTGAGTTCGTAATTTAGCCAACTCTTGCAAAA